CTGACAAGCTTTTCTAGCCTTTCCAGTGCGAGTGACAAGTTATTATGATAAATCTGCCACTGGAGATTACCTTACATATTCCGTTTTCCAAGCTGCGCTATACATAAGAACTGTGTGAAACAGATTTATGCTAAAGCATCTAACTTTGCGAAGACAATGGAAATCTTCATAAAAGCATAAATGGACCAACTCTATAATGAGTAATTCAATGCGTTGTAATGCTCAATGAATCGTAATATTTACAACAATATTCAGTACTCAATATACTGACAATATAAAAGAACTGAACTATCTGCGAATTAAAAGTACGCAGTCTACTGATAGAAAGGGGTGAAAAAAATGTTTTTAGAGTAAGCCCTTCATTTCAAGGTATACAGATAAGTAGTTCGTAAATCAAGTTTACCATTCATGGATGAACTTCTATGAGGTGATAATACCAAATCTGAGCTACCTTGAGAAAAATTCCGTATTTCTCCACAGCAGATACTGGGCCACCAGGATATTCTTGAAATTTATACATTTGTAACTTTCACCCCTCCGATTAACTATTCTATACCACCCTGGCGATACTAGTAAACTTAAAACCATTAACAACACATATCGTAGATATTCTATGATGGTATTCTGGCAGTAACGATGCAAAACTCCATGTTGGAGAGCTACTAAAAAATCGCTTCTCGCTCAGAGAAGATGTCACTTCCACTCAACGAAGCTAGTGGCATTAAGTAGGTTACTAATGAATGTGTTCAGTTGGGTCTATGTTCTATTCGTACTTTTCGATTCTTTAAGAGGTAGACAAAAACACCATCAGGGTCATCGAAAGACATTCTCTTCTGCTTAAATTCCAACAACTGCTAACAATGAGTGTATTTAAAAGCGGTTGTTTTGTGATCTAAAATAGACTTCAAATTATGCCATTCCATTATCATCTCACTGATGAAACAAAATTGCTAAACATATATCTACATCCAAGGAGTTACACTGAAAAATGGATTAGGTAATATAGTCCCTGATGACACATAATATTTTTGAGAT